CCAGATCAAAATGAACTTTTTCATTATGCATCAAGACTGATCGAATAGCAATAATCTTAAACGATAAGCGATTAAACACTTTCAATTACACACATTGAATCTTTAAAGCCATTCTATGTTTTTGAGTAGAAATCTGTATCAATCAGTCTATTGATCTCATGGCATGAAATTATATCATATGAACTTTTGATTATAAATATGCAAGAACAACAAATCGAATGTAGTAAAAAATGTTTTTTTTTTCAAACGAAACAAAAAAACAAAACTACTATTCTAGAAGAATGCAAATAAAACAAAGTTAAAAATATATTTCTTCATCAATATTCAAATATTATAGAATGTTAATTTCATAGAAATAATAATCTTTAACAAACCTTGAAATTCAACAAGATCATCATCGATTTGTGATCGTGAAATAATTGATATTGGTTGATCACTTTCCATTGGTGTTATTTCTTGAACATTATTATTTACATTTTCTTCTATTTTATTATCTATTTTTGTAGATAAAACTAGAAAATAAAATAAATCGATAACGAAAAATAATAATAATAATAATAATAATGATTACATTCTTCATTATCATTCTCAATAATATGATTCATAATTGAATCAATAACATCATGCACATCCTGAGTATCTATTAAAAAAGTTTTTGTTATCTAAATTAAATAAAAATAAAAAATATATATTGTTTTTTTAATATATAATTAAAATAATTAACCTGATTTAAATTTGATATAATAGGTGTTTGAATTGTTTGATTTGTAATCCCTTCAACAATATCATATATTATTTCTTCTTGTGTTTTTTCATTATTTTCTTCAATAATCATTTGTTCTATTTCATTGTCAGGTAAAATCATAAATGATTCTTGTTGTTCTTGTTGTTGTTGTGGAACATCTTTTTCTAATTTAATATTATGTTCAATTGTATCAAATATTTGTTGTTGTTTTGTATTATTATCATTATGATATGTTGAATAATGTGTTGTTGAATTATTACATAATGATACATTTGATGGCTTGGGATTTTTTGATACGGTACTTTTTCGTGCCGTATATCGATACATATCTGGTAAAATACCAGCTGACATGTTTATCTAAAGAAAAAGAAATCTTTTGTGTTGTTCATGATTACTAATTATCATTTTGAAAAAGTTATATATATCTGACATAGAAGAAAATAAAATAGAGAACAAAACAATAAGAAAATAGACAAAAAAAAAAAAAAGAGGAAAATGTTTGATATTGACTAGAATATTAATTTTGATCATTAATCATTGATGTTTGTATATCAAATACATCTACTAAAGTTTCCCATTGTTCAATATCTAATGATAAAATTAATTGAGTTAATGAATTAAATTGATGTGATTTTGTATTTGATGATGAAAGATTAATATTCATATTACTATCATTTAGTTTATTAGATTCCTTCAATGGACCTAAAAAACAAATTAACAAAATCAAGAATTTAAATATTGATCAAAATTTTTTTTTAAAAGAAAATATTTCATTCAAATATTTATTATTTTTGATTTTCTCAATAGTTTCATTATAAAAATTTACTTTTCTATTATCATTTTATATTGCTAAGCATAATAAACTATGTAAAAAATTTTTCTTCAATCGCATTGACATTGATTTCAAAAGGTTTGATTCACTCGAAAGCCTGACATATGTAAATAATTTTTTTCTATTATTCTTATCTAACATAAGTTGGATTCTATTCATACCTACGCGTCTTGCTCTATCATCGCATACAATTAAGAATTAAACATCGTCTCATGTTTCCATCTATATGAAAGAAAGAGAGCTTTTTTTTTGTTACATTTCTACAGACTAAAAATTCAGTTTCATACGAGAAATGAATAACTGTTGTAATATTGCTTATGTCTGATAATTATATTCAAGAGTTTTTATGACCTCTTAGAATGTTTTTGATTATTTCATTCAACATCATTTTCATCCTACACAAATCTACTAGTATAATATTACGTTGATTTATATTTTATAATCTTAAACTACTGATATTTTTTAAATTTGCATATATAATTGACATACTAAATTGCATTCGGTGATTAAAATCAACAATTATCTATTAGTAATGTAATAAGAAAACTAATCACCTGAGCATGGTTGAAAACGGGAGAGTGGAGACTACTGATATAAAAAGGATTTTAACAATCGAGGGTAACATGATTGAGGTAGGTAAACGCTCACCTTTACTTTCGGAGACTCTCAATACCTTCTAGGAGGGCTGAGCTCGCTCTATCCTCACTATCTGTTTACGTCACTAATATCTATGATTGATGCTTACCTTTTCTATGTGACTGAGTGTATTATTACATTCTTTCTTAGTATTCGAAAAAAAAGAACATGCAATGGAGGACGGACAAATCTTATCCATTAATTATTTCAAATGATAAATATGAATGTATTGTTGTATAAAGTTCGATTGTTTTCTTATTTTCTAAATTAAATAACTTACGTAAAACAGGTAAACCATTATTATCCAAAAATAATTCAACTTTTCCTTCCTATAAAAATAAAAGAAAATTTATTTTCTAAAATCGAAATTATTATTATTATTATTTTGATTTACTTTAATAAGAAATGATATATGAAATATATTTTCAACTGAACGAGAAAATTTTGTTGGATGAATTGTAAATATAAAAAAACTAATTGGTTGATCTTAAATACAAAAAAACAAAAAACTAAAGAATATTTTTTAAAAATAAAATAAAAGAACGAACTATTATTATTTTCATATGCTTCTTCTAAACATCGATTCATTCGAATAATTTCTTTTGATGTTTGTTCACCATTCGATGACATTTTCTTAATCTAAATAAATATTTTAATTTTTTAGGTTTTTTGATTTCATTTACTTCTTTTATTTGAGTATGTTGAGATGAATCAATGATATCTTTAGTTCGACGAGATCGTTGTTTCATCAATGATTTTTCTAAAATTCGTTTTTCAAACCAAAATGTTGGTAAACGTCCAGACCTGTTTTGTATTTTTAATAAAATAAATATTCACATAATTTATTTCTTATTTTATAAAATATTTTCTTACATAAAATTCATCATGCCAATAGTTTTATGATAATGACAAAAATCAATATAAAATTCTGCAAATACATCATCACTTTCTGTTAGATTTTTTTTAATAATTTTAGCCTAATTTAAAAAAAAAAAAAAAGAAAAATTTTCTTTAAAAATAAAAAAAATAAAATCGAAATTTTTCTACAAACACATTTTCGCATTAATTTAAAAGCATTTTCAGTTGTAGATTTTTTATCTATAGCAATAGTTTGAATACGAGCAAATGATGATATAGTTTTTAATGCAACTAAATGTAAAATTTATAATAATAAAATTAGTCCAATCCCTACAGGATTAAAATGTGAAATATGATGTAGTTGCTTCTGTTAATCAAAAACAGATTGTTTTATTCTATCTATTTTAAGACATACATCTTCACCCATCCTTTTATTTGATCCTTCGGAAATGTAATCAGGAAGTGGTAACGAGATGTTATTGATACGCGTGGTCTTCGATCATATATCAAGAACATATGTCACAGTATGTGACAAGTAGAGATTTTTACTCTATATACGTCAACACTCCTTCTAGATTGTGTTTTATAAAACGATAAATATGAAATACATACTTATGTCAAGAACACCTTCACGTGGTGTTCGAACTAGAATAAAAAAAACAATGATGTGCAATAGAAATTTATCTCAATATATTTTTTTTTTACCATCTTCAAATAGTTTATTGCAAGTATTTAATTGATTGAATAATTGTTTGTTTGTAGGTTCAGTTAATTCAGGTTTATTACCTGAAAATTATAAAAGAAAATATTTATTTTTAAATTTTAATAGTTAAGATCATTGAATGATAATTATAGAATAGAAAAATATTGAGTGCAAACTGAGAAAAATTTTTTTTTTTTGTCAAAATTTTTAGCAAAAGCATTCGAGTGATAAGTTTATTGAATAATTTAAATGACACTTCATTATTAGTAATAATTACATAATGAGTATGAATTTTTTGTCATGTCAAGTTCAGTTCACTGCTTGCCATAGATATCATGTGTGTCATCGAACAAGCGTGAATAGAGGTCATTAGGTCTGTCATGCATACCCTTGTTACATATCAAAGTGTATCATAGTTGATTCTTCTTTTCATCGTGCAAAAAAAAAAATATACTATGATAATTTATATTTTAGAAATCATTATTATTATCATCCACAAAATAGAAAACATAATATTAAATGGGATCTTCTAAATAATATTTTTTTCATGCACTCTAGAAGAAAAATATTTGGTATCTGTGTGTTATAGATTCTACTATGAGAAAATGGGTTGTTAGTCTATCTGCAAGAGCATTCTTCTACCGTTTTTTTATTTTGTTTCTACAGTGACATATCATCAATTCATGAAGGAACATTTTCAACTAATTTATTGCTGTCTCGGTGAAAGCTGGTGGATTGTAGGCTATTGACTATGCTGATTCCGATTATAATCATAAGAACTATCCATAGGTTTTTATAGATTGGTTTTCTGGATGAACAAAAATTTTTGTCTAAATCGTTTTGGATCATAACATTTATCGTTAAGATTTACACATTGAAATGTTGATATATAGTGACGGACAAAAGTTTTGAGCAGTTGTATTTTTGAGTTTTCTTCTCGATGGTAATATTTAAAACTGCTTGGATAAAGATGTATGGAAAATCAGGATCTTCCAAAAATCGGGTTTCTGGCATACATTTCACGCTTCTTAGAAATGCCTTTATTTGATAGAGTAAAATGAAATGCTTCGGCTCTCTCCATGACTTTTCTTCATCGAACGGCATCCAATTTACAGAAGACCCACGAAGCATTTTTCTTTTTGTTTTGTATAAAAAATTTCAATGATGCCACCGTGTTTGATACTTTAGGGTCTTCTATATATTACATACAGTTCGATGAAAGAAGATCATGAAGAGAGCCGAAACATCTTCATCCAAATAGTTTTAAATATTACCATTGAGAACAACACTCAAAAATATAACTGCCATAAACTTATGTTCGCCACTACACATGTATCTGTTCTATGAATTTAAATGATGATATCTTCTGCAAACAAAACGATTTGAAACAGAAGAAGTTATTATTGTTTCAAGGTAATTCGATATGCTCTATAATTTGAACAGATAAGAAAAAAAACATTTTAGGTGGCAAGTTTGTTTCTCTGGAAAACCGGTATATGAAGCCTTACTTAAAGGGATTTCGCATAGTCATATTCGAGTTCATTATGATCGATAACCTACAATCTATTAATTTTTAGTGAGAAAGCGATTGCTCAGTTGAAAACACAGAATCTCAAGTTATAGATATTTTTTAATTGAAGAAAAACAAATGTTCCTAATTCATATTAAACAAAAATAAAAATAAAAATTATTCATTTCAGCAAAAAAAAAAAACAACAAACAAACGAATAAAATAACTCACTGTATAAGTCACTGATTAAACTTCGATAATTAACGCGTGTTTCAAGTCTTTCTTCCGTCTGATAGACAAGAAAATAATTTAATTTTTTTTTTTACAAAACAATAAATGATGCTTACATTTATTTGATTAACCAATTTATGTCTGCTCATTTTTTGATTAGGAAGAGTAGTAATATCAGCCATATAAATTTTAGTTCTATTGTCTGAAATCAAGAAGAGACAACATATAGGTATATATATATATATATATTCTTTTTTTTTTCTATTATACATTTCATTTTGTCAGTAAATATCAAGATAAACACAAAAGAAAAGAAAAAAACAAAACAGTGAACTTTCTTTTTTTTTTCTTAGTTTTTTTTTATTTTTGTAATACAATAAATAGTTTTAAATTTTGACACAAATGCATAATGTCGGTGGACAATTTATAGCACATAATTGTAAACACCAATTTTCGATACCAATTAATGGTTTAAGTGCTTCATTTGTTGCATAACAACGAAGAGTTTTATTATTTTCATCTAATTGTTCAATTAATTCTTTTGATGGATGAAATGGAAAGATAAAACTCATCGATGTTGT